AAGGGGGTATGGGGAGATATTGCCGCTAAAATACGTCCTTTAAAGCCTATTTTCAGAATTTTCTATAAAAGTGATTTAAAAGCAAGGCGTAAGTCGCTTTTAACAGCACTCTAAAATACGTCGTTTAACGCTAAAAGTGAGATATGAGTAAGGGCCGAGTAAGATGCAGCTTTACATGGGATATGTCCTTCAGGACGCACGTTTAGGGAGCCATTGTTATTCCCGCATTGTCACACTCCATCAAGGAAAAAAAAAGGAAAACAACGGCACCACTTCTTTTTTATGGCAGTATCGCATCGCGCAGGAAGAACCTAGATTGCAAGGCGAGAGATTCTCGGGTTTCTTGAAGAAAGACTCTTTCGCTCATTGTTTTGCATTGTGCCAGAGTTTGCTTCGTTCTTGACATTCGCTTCCCCAACGGGAAAGGGGACAAATTCTTCGTGTCCTAATAGGACATTTAACGCCTCTTAAGCACAAGCTAATGCCCCTTAAATTTGCCTTGGCTGTTCCAGCTGAAAGTTATGAATAATTTTTTATGACACATGCAAGTTGAGGGAAGGCGAGGGAAACACATCGAAGGAAATAGAAACAAGGGAAAGGGCTTTCAACACTCGTTGTATATGTTGATGAAGTTCAGAATGTCATTTTTGTACGACCTGTGAGTAGATTCTGTATGTTTGACGATAGTGCTCAACTTCTCGCAATGTCATCCCTCGTGATTTTATTTACGTGATCCTGTATCCTCCAAATGGAAATGTGAAATCCTTCGACTGAAAGTATAGTGAAAATGGTAGATGGTATGGTTGAGCGTTATGAATCATTTTTCATGGCACAAGTAAGTTGAGGGAAGGCGAGGGAAACACGTCGAAGGAAATAGAAACAAGGGAAAGGGCTTACAACGCCCCTTCGTATATGTTGATGAAGTTCAGAATGTAATTTTTGTACGACCTGTGAGTAGATTCTGTATGTTTGACGATAGTGCTCAACTTCTCGCACTGTCATCTCACGTGAATTTATTTACGTGATCCTGTATCCTCCAAGTGGAAATGTGAAATCCTTCGACTGAAAGTATGGTGAAAATGGAAGATGATATGGTTGAGCGTGAGTTTACTATAAATGTATGTGACTGGCTGCTATGTTTGAAAAGGGTATGCCCACTGAACACCGAACCTAACAGTTTCGTAACTGGAAACTAACAAATAACATAACGTTTGTTACAATGTAATAACCTAACAATTACATAACATAGAGCTAACCAGTTACATGACATTTGTTACAATGCAGTAACTAAACAGTTATGTAACCTGGAGCTAACAGGTGACATAACATTTGTTACAATCATATCTATATAAATGTAGCATAACTTTGTTACTCTCATCTTACATTATGTTACTGTCTTGATATTACTGTGTATATGCAGCACATATTTGTAACAAAACAGAACTACATTGGTGCTGTCATCTATTTTATTACATCATCGTCATCGTCATTGTCATAATTCATCGTCAAATGTCATAAGATTAATACATGCCATATTTTATTTACTACTCGTATGAAAAAATATGACTAATTCATACGCGCATATACATTATCAGTCATTGTTTGCTAATCGAATGAAATCCTAATAGTATTTAATTAAAACAGATAGTTTATCATTATATAATTTAATTGAAAGTCTGATCTGTCATTTAATATCTAACTACTGTCAAGTACCAAAAAATAATTAAAAATGAAAAATTATATAATTTTGGATAAAATTACGTGATCTTTTTTATTAAATGTATGAAAAATTAATATTATTTTAAGGTAACTGAAATCATAACATCAATATAACATGTTACATAACATGTTACCTTACCAAGTGGGAAATAATAACTAACATCTAATTTCCATGTTACTTTTATGCTACGTAATATGTTAGTTTCGAAAACGTAACATTTACCCAACAGTTATATAACAGTGTTCACTGGGTGAATTTTTACCTCATAGAACACATGAAATTACGAAAAGTTGTAAGTTCCATATGCTACGTAATAGAAAGGTAAAACTGAATGTTAATGAGCGTAACAAATTATTCCGTTAACATACTTCGATATACTATAAAATACAAAATATTCATGTTAATAACTAACATTACTGTTGCGGATCAATTTTCTAGAATAGTAAATGGGTCAAAAATATCCCGAAGGACTCTCCTTGCTTTCCACATTTTCCCATCCTTTTTGTTCCTGTTCGTCATTAAATATTATTAATATGGCTACGTGGCTACTACACATTAACCGCTAATGAATTGGAATCTTCAGAATGTATGTATAGACGCGCTCTCGTTTTGAGTATTTCTCGCTCTCCTTCTTTCTATCCTTCTTCTCTCTCACATCGTCATTCAACATGAAATTTCTTGCCGAGCAGTCTCACGCGAAATATCTCACAGTTTTACCATGGGGAAAGTTACAGAATTATGGATGCGATTCACATTTTCCTAAATTCGAGTTACAGAATCGACCCCGAGGAGACGGACCAAAATTTCAGTTTGAAAGAAAATGTGAAGATTTTCATGGCAACTTCGAGGGCCAATTTTTGACAGCTGATTTTTCATCGTGAATTTTTGAGAATCGACTCTTAAGGTGAAGTGAAACACGTCGAGGAACTTGATCGACGTCGATAAAGAAGATTTTTCTAAATGCCTACGTTGCCGACGTTCGTTTTTATATTGACAGCTGTATCGAATTATATTGAATATTGTACCAAATGGCATACTCCACCAGTCATTTTCGTACAATAAATATCAAGAAATCAAAGTAAAACTCCAGAAATCCTCTGAATTCATGCTTTCTGGGGCCCTAATTGACTGCAGAGGGACCCTCTGCGCCATCTGTGATTACCAGGTCAATTAAATTGTCACTCCGATATTCCCATCGTTTTGGCATAGAACCGCACACAACACTTTTTTTGCCTTTATCCCGTTCAAATGCGAGTTTATCGATTACCAGAGTGTTTTAAATTGTTGTAAAATTGTCCTGACCGTTTCGTTTCTCATATCGGAGTCTTCGATAATTGTATATTGATCGAAATATGAGAGCTCGACGCCATTTTGGTTCTGGACTGGGCTGAGTTAACAAACTTTTTCCAAAAATCCAAATTTTAAATGTGTCAGGACAATTCTTAGATGTGCCAAAGTTTCGGACAGTGTGGCTCAAGACTCTTAAAAAAAAGTGTTGTATTCAAATCGACTGATTTGAAGGGGGTTTCACTTCACCTTAAGGGCAGATTGTAACACTAGAACTACCAAATCCGTCGAAATGGCGGATTTCAAATGGCCCTCCAAAAACAGGAAAATCCGCCGGTAGTTCCAGTGTTAAATACTGAACTTTCGAGGACGGAAAATTATCTGAAACCTCGAATATCAAGTATTAATCATATTTTCTACTGAATCACGGAGCCGGATTTCTATCGAGTTCAAACAGGTGAAAGATCGATCTTTCGTGAGGTTGCCCCTTAACTTCCAAAGAAACTTTCGTTGCCACAACGGTTCCATTAAGATCCCCTTGCATGATAGATTCGATCCACCGGTTTAGATCAAGATGAAGGGCTCTGAAACAAGATGGGAATGAATTTCCTAGGTTTAAGAAATTCCTCTCAGATTTATAGGATCATAAAATGTAATGAATGAGTACACCGGAAGAGGAAATCCATAAAGTAGGAAATCAGATCAGGTTTTCGGATAAGTGTCAACTATTTTCTACTTAATAGATCCAGTAAGTTACGACCATGTACAGAAATAATTGTTATGATTACGGTGTTACCCATGACAGGAATCGAGGATAAATATAAAGACAGCAGTTCTGCAGAGTTATAGTTATTCTGCTTTTAAATGTTACAACTGCGACGATCTTGTACGTGTCTTTACATGTATAGTTTCCAATTTTGTATATGTAACACTGAAAGATGTAAATGTAACTACAACGTATTTACATGAATTCTGCAATTACCGCTGCAGTCGCAAGGGCTAAAAGAACAAACAATTGTAATTAAGATAACTTTGGGTAGTAATGTGGGTTGTAGGCCCATGCTTATTTTTCACTATACAGCAAAAGTACAATGTTTGTGGCTCCCTCTGTCAGTTAGTAGCACAAAGAAGAGTCCATTGTGTGTATTGCCGGGGCTGTCCACGATAAACTGACAAGGGAAGTTCCCCAACCCAGGAATTCAAAGAATTTGGAAACTTAGGGGATATTTAGAGTGTGTCTAGGTGAGTTACAAATAATTTTCTTTTCGGCAGAAAATCATTTTGAAGAAGGGAAATCATCCCCTGAAAATTATTTGATTTTCAGTTTTCATTTTATTTCTCACAAACCCCGAAAATGATCCCCATCGAATCTTGAAACTCAGAAATCAGCCGAAATTCTGGAAACTGCCCCCAAATCAGTATAAAAAGGGGCGCATCGATCCTGAGACAACGAAACTTTACCCAAGCTCGAAAATAGCTCGATTAAAGTAATATCAATTAAAAATAACCGAAAAATCAACAGTAATCAAGTTTAAACAATTTACGAACAAACTACATCTCGAATTCTTTTTTAAGTCGTTTCCAACGAAACGTCCAAGTTATAAACTGCCGCTCATCGAAGGTCGTCGTCAGAGTTAGTTATTTGCGTGCAATGTGGAGGTCACAATTTCGATCTGAGAACAAAATGGTATATTTCCTACATTATTGGCAACATTTAATCGTGTGCTTTCGAACTTGATTGTTTCCTAACCTGAAGAATTTGTAATATATGAAATAAACAGCCACGTGGTACCGATGTACTATTGCAGGGACGACTCAAACAGCACCGAGGTTGGAATAGCATTATTTTCACAAAAAACACAGAAGGTCCTCAGGGAAGAAACGGTGTAATTCCTTATGTTCTATAACTTTCGACTTTACCTATTATCTAAGGCTTTTTGAAATCTAAGGATCCTTTGGCGTCCACTAAAAGAGCTTCTCCTCTGGTCAACAGGTGGACTTGGAATTCGTCCAACTGGGCGTTCAATGAGGACGAGGAGCCAATCATCTGTGGCAACGTAACCGGTGCCAGGTTCGACCACTCTTTTGACTCGGTGAAACAAAACCACGGAGAAATAGTCAATGAATAGGCACGAGCAGGCCTCTGCTTCTCATTACTAAATAGTCTGACGTGCATCCGAAATAAACCGAGAATGCAGCACTCATTGCACCCGTTTCGCCTGCTAACCACTCCGTTTCATTGCAAGCAGCATGAACTTGGAATGAATTAAGACCCATGCGATATGCACGATAAATCGAATGAATTTAAGATGATATGAAAGGCGCTGAGAAATTTAATCGGGCTTAATAAATTTAAATTCATCTGTACCCTTTTTGGTGGTAACGTCATTTTGAATACTCAAGTGGTAACATAAGATGGCGCGTCCCGTTACCGACATTTATATTTATGTTGAAGTCTTTTACAGTCTACATTGAGAATTGTATGAACTGAAGCGTTCCATATATCATTTCGGTATAGTAATGATGAAGAAATTGATGTAAAACTAGTGAAATCCCTTGAATTCATTATTCTAATGACGTTTAGAACCAACGTCGCCATCTGTGACGTTTAGCTACAACTAAATTTTTGCTCTAAAAACATGTGTTTAATGTGCTCTTGCAATCGTTGGTGAAAGTATTTTCGATATTTTCCCATGTAACTCTGTAATATTCCATTTCTACGGTATTCTAAATTATTCGAGCTAGGTCCTGCAACTCTTCATTTTCTATTCTAAGCCTCCAAGAAGAGTAAAGCGTTGAAGACTAAATTTTTGTTCTACAAACATGTGTTTACCACAAGACAGGCCAGCATTCTCTTGCAATCGTTGGTGAATGTATTTTCCATATTTTCCCATCTAACTCTGTAATATTCCATTTCTACGGTATTCTAAATTATTCGAGCTAGGTCCTGCAACTCTTCATTTTCTATTCTAAGCCTCCAAGAAGAGTAAAGCGTTGAAGACTAAATTTTTGTTCTACAAACATGTGTTTACCACAAGACAAGCCAGCATTCTCTTGCAGTCGTTGGTGAATGTATTTTCCATATTTTCCCATCTAACTCTGTAATATTCCATTTCTACGGTATTCTAAATTATTCGAGCTAGATCCTCCAATTCTTTATTTTCTATTCTAAGCCTCCAAGAAGGGTAAACCCCGTGCAGGCCCCGCCATGTTGGTTCTAGTCCATGATAAATAAATAAGTTTTTTATGAAAAATGAAATTTCATCAGTTTCAGGACCTACTTTAGAGCCTCCATATTCACATGGTAAAATTTCAAACGAATCGGTACATCCAATTCCGAGAATACTTTCACCAACGATTTGACTTCTCAAATATCTTACTCTTTCATATCAACTTAGGTAAATCAAATTTCCGAGATTTCTCTACGTCTTAAAAATATGCCACGAGGAAAAAAATTCCCAGGTTTTTATGTATGTTATAAGTATTTAGATATTTTGCTAGTATTTCCTTTTGACTGTTAGATGTGCGAGAAAAAATGTACAGAAATGTCATTGCGTGTTATAAAATATTAGAGTACGGTTTCGTTTCAGTTTACACAATTACCTGGTGGAGATGTACTAAAGACTGGAACAGCTGGAATTGGCACAACTGCATCACATGCTCGCTCGGATATTATTGCAGCTTGTCCAGCATGCGGCGAATGAGACATTTTACGATAGACATAATGTTTATAGACTGCACCAGTATGCAAGAAGCTACAGAGGGTAATCCGTTACATCGGATTAACCCTAAAGAACATGCTCCTTCCTCTAAACCTAAACGACTGCAAAGAACGACCACCTTATCTCGGACCTATGAACCATTGTTTAATATTTTTTAGTTCAACAAACCTCTATCCAACCCCGCCTATATTCTTACATTATACGTTAGTATCCTTTCGCATCAAAAGCCAAAAAAAATTCGTTTCAATCTTAGGTTGACCTAACGCAAAAGAAAAAGATACAACTTGCTCCATTCTACTTTCACCTACTGTAATTTTCCTGACGTATATTACAACAAAATTCATTTCTGCCCAATTCATTTTGATAACGTGTGATTAAATGCATGAGAAACAAGCCTAAAGCGTCTGTTCTTAAGGTGAAGTGAAACACGTCGAGGAACTTGATCAACGTCGATAAAGAAGATTTTTCTAAATGCCTACGTTGCGAATCCGAGAAACACGATAAACGTCTTCTTGCCCCAGACTTTCTGCTGATAAATCGTATCGAAGAATCATCCCTGCTTTCCACATCCACATTGTTATTAGTTTCACTCATCTTGATTATAACGGCATAATATTTAGTTCTTTAAAAACAATCAGGGAGTAATGTTGAAAAGACCAAAAAATATGTAGTCCGTGTAATATTGATGAAGTATACAGTAACATTCAGCGTGAGAGATCACCGTTATACTAACTACCGTCTGCATTGCGCTTCTTTCTATCTGTTTGCTGATGCGATTTTATTACTCATATTGTTGAAAGGGGGAAAGCATCTTCGGCTGTTTAACAAAAAAAAGCGTCGATGTACGGCCGCAACAGATAATCCAATAATACTATACTGCCAGGTATTCGTCTACGATTTACATTAGAGTATGGAGTTAATCAAAATGGCTTCTGAAATAAATCACTTATTATTCAATGCCCAACAAAATTTTGCCGTTTAATGGTGTTAATCTCTATTAATCAGGAAAGATATTATAAATATAAAAAGTTATGGCTATACCAAGTGCTTTGACCCCTAAATTTAAGATTTTTCAAACAGTAGAGTTAGTCGATGTGTGCACTGAGCGGCTCATATATCAGGGCAGAATATACTATTTTCCTGGGTCAATTATTATTTTTACTTTCCTTCTTTCTTTGTTTAGACAGAACAGATTCTACTATGAAATTTCAATTTGTTCGCGCCTCAAGAATTCCACATCCTTGTGCCCATGGTGTAACATTCCTTTTCCCTTATTCCATTTAGTTGTAAGTGCGCACCATTCTTTGCAAACGACGATACCACTTTGGCAGCTTCTCTTTGTTCTTAAATCTGAATAAACGGTGAATGCGCTTAGCATGGTAGTATTTTACGTTTTGGTTCGGTGGAGAGGCACGTGGTCGGAGAACTACACCGATCTCGGACACAATGGCCGTGCAAATACTTTTCCGAGGTAAATTGCACCTGCCTCGCGGAGGTACGTCTTCCTTTGCAAGGGTAACGCAACGACGAGTACACCACGGTGAACCACGATGGACCATAAAATTTGACGCGTAAAGTTTATCGCGTCGTAAACGCAAATGCTCGCACTTATTCAGGACGAGCAATCTGCGTGGCGATGAACAATAGGCTGTGTCCGCAAGAATGCGCATTCCTCGAAGCACCGACACGCGCCTGCAAGTAGGTACGCACGCACGCATGTACCGACCACTTAACCCTTTAATTACGGCAGACTTGGCCATGAAGCTGTTTCGCCTGTACGGGTACCTCAGTGCTAATATTTTATCTGAATATGATGCTCATCTGTTGCTTTAAGGTGAAGTGAAACGCGTCGAGGAACTTGATCGACGTCGATAAAGAAGATTTTTCTAAATACCTACGTTGCCGACGTTCGTTTTTATATTGACAGCTGTATCGAATTTTATTGGGTATTGTACTAAATGGCATGCTCCGCCTGTCGTTTTCGTGTAATAATTATAAAGAAATTGACGCAAAACTCCAGAAATACTCTGGATTCATGTTTTCTGGGGCCCTAATTGACTGCACAGAGACCCCCTGCGCCATCTGTGATTTCAATGTCAACTAAATTTTCACTCCAGGACCTCGTATTACCATCGTTTTGGCATAGAAGCGCATACAACACTTTTTTTGCCTTTATCTCGTTCAAATGCGAGTTTATCGATTACCAGAGTGTTCTAAATTGTCGTAAAATTGTCCTGACCCTTTCGATTCTCATATCAGAGCGTTCGATAATAGTATATCGATCAAAATATGAGAGCTCGACGCCATTTTGGTTGTGGTCTGGGCTGAGTTAACAAATTTTGTTGAAAAATCCAAATTTTCAATGTGTCAGGACAATTCTTAGATGATCATGAGTCATGTATCAAAGTTTCGGACAGTTTGGTCCAATACCCTTAGGAAAAAGTGTTATATTCAAATCGACTGATTTGAATGGTGTTTCACTTCTGCCTATCTACTGTTGTATATAATCGACTGATCGTAAATATGGCCAACTTCCGGGTTGCCTTAAAATTTTCAAACGTGCATTTCCTGATTCCAGGCACTGCAATGAGAGCTATACCTGCCTCTGTGTGGGGCCCAATCCGAATCATGGCTACACCAACTTCGACAATTTCCTTTGGTCCATGCTCACCACCTTTCAACTGATCACTCTTGATTATTGGGAAGATGTCTACAATAAGGTTCGTCCGCATAAATCATTTCAATGGATGCGCCTTAATTGTAAGAAGTTGCTTAAACTTTTTCAATTACTCTCCTATTCCTGAGAATACATTAAGAGTAAACTTATTTTCCCATGAAATAAGAAGGTAAAGAAGAATAAAGACTGAGAAATGAATTTCTATTTCAACTCGCAAAGACACAAGCCTCGACTTAAATTTTCAACAATCCCCAACATTGCGTATACTTTCAGAACAATTTTTAAGCTTGTGCTCGACTAAAGGTTCACCGCGGGGTTTTCAATATACAGCGAACCCAACTCTACCATCTCTCTATTAAGGGGATGTGAAAGTGACATCTTAGGGGTCAATCTTTCATGAAACTTTTCTCCGAATTGGATGTACCAATTTCTTTCAAATTTTACCACACGAATAAGGTGATCCTAACGTAGGTCCTGACACTCACGAAATTTCATTTGCTACTAAAATTATTCAAAATAGCTATAAACAAATTATCTTAAAATTGAGATATCATAGGCTTCAGGACCTTAATTATGGCCTCCATATTCACATTGTCATGTCTTGGACAATTCGATACACCCAGTTCGGAGGAAAGTTTCATAAACGATACCTCTTTCACGCCACTTTCACATCACCTTAACACTTTGACTTCCATGTCACCCAAATATCGGTGACATAGCAGTCAAATAAAATGCACATGGCAGTCGAAGTGTTAAATCAGATTTTCTCCAACCTTCCTAAAAGTGACTGGCGAATAATTCCTCATTATGCTATTGAAGTAGTTGCCTTCGCCCCAACGGCGAAGATTTTCCTTGTAATACGTCGAATGATGTTCAGCCTGACAATTAATCTAAGACTCATTGACATTTGAATCAATGTGCAGGTACTGTCGGCGTGCGGACCTATAAGCGTCTCGTTCTTCACGGTGGTCGTTTTTTTCGGGTCCTTCTACCTTATCAATCTGATGTTGGCGGTCGTAGCGCTGAGCTACGAAGAAGAAGCTGAAATTACAAATGAGGTGAGCACGGCGTTGTGTCGGCCAAGTACACTCCTATTGCGTTTTCGATTTTGAGGGGATGCAAAAGGTAAGATCTGCCGTGGAGCTTAAGATGAAGTGAAACACGTCGAGGAACTTAATCGACGTTGGTAAAGAAGATTTTTCTAAATACCTACATTGCCGATACTCGTTTTTATATTGACAGCTGTGTCGAATTATATTGGATATTGAACTAAATGGCACAGTCCACCAGTCGTTTTTGTGCAATAATTATAAAGAAATCGAAGTAAAACTCCAGATATCTGTTGGATTCATGGTTTTTTATGTCTTAATCGATTATAGAGTGCCACCCTGCGCCACCTGTGATTTTAGGGTCAACTAAAGTTTCCTTTTGAGACCTTGCGTTACCTTCGTTTTAGCACAGAAGTGCTGTTACGTCAGAATTGTAACAATAGTTGGATCCGATTACAGTTCAACTTACCTGTAGTACGGATGAATCCTCCTTTTAGGCCACGAATTCAATCGTAGATTCAGATTCGATTTCATTGGAGATGGGGGTTAAGAAGTAGGAATAGAATGAAATGAAGATGAGTCGAGTTTGCGAAGGATCCTCTACCTGGCTTGATTAGCGACCGAATTCGGTGACACTCTCCTTTGATCGACCCAACCGGATAACTGCTCGTGAATGCCTTCGTCCCGTGGTGTGCCCTAGGGTTGGAGGTCTCCTAGAAGCCTCATGTCCAACGGAAGTCGCAGTGCCGCTGTCTGTTTCTGACCCGGTGCGTTTGGATCGCCGGAGTACCGGATGGCACTACTGCGGATCGCAGGATAGGTGATTTTCGACAGAAAGTCCGACAGTCTCGGTCTTTGACTCGGTAGGAATAGAGTACCGAAGACCAGGGGCTCCACTCAAAATCGTCGACTAACGTCAACGTTGACTAACTTGTGGCAAAACGGCTAAAGGCTGAATGGCCCCGCTAATTTGGCGGTTTTATTGACAGGGTGTTCCAATTGGTGGGAGGTCTTAGGGCCCAGATGAGGGCGGCGTTTCTGGGGCGTGCTGATGCCCTGTATAGTCATCAGATTATTTGCTTCGTGTCGATCGATGACTTTTGGAGTCGTCTTGGCCGATGAATTTGTCGTGTCAGGTAGCCTGGTTCCGGATCCTTTCACAAGTGTTTCGTAATCGCATGCCTGTACTCGGATTTCCATGGCTAGCTTCCGGTGATCGGACTATGTTTTTCCCTAGATTCGAGGGTACTAAGGATGCCTAAATAACATGTCACAACTTCTGACAGTTCGATCCAATACTCTAAAAAAAAAGTGTCTTATTCGAATCGACTGATTTGAGGGGGGGTTTCACTTCACCTTAAATGCTGCAATGTGGACGAGTTTACCTGGAATTGAGTTCTACAGAAGACATTGAATTATGTTTAATCATTCACAGGAACGCAAGAAAGACTTGACCGACCATCGTGAGGACTCGACGTTTAGTTTCGACCCGACGAAGATCAACATCAAAACCCTAACCAAAGAGAAGCAGAAGAAAATCGATGCGAGGAAAGGGGTACTTCTGAGTAGTTACACGCGGAAAAAGACGCGTCGGCGGAAACGTGGAAGAAGTTCCGCTGGCCAGGAAAAAAATGGCGGGGCTCGTAGTCGGTGAGGATTTTCATTAACTATACATTATTAATGACGATTTAGATAAGGTGCAACAAATAGATAGTACCAAAACGTATTTAAAACCAATCGAAGGTCTTACATACGATTATTTGCTGCACCTCATAAATAAATCTGTTTACCCTTTGCACTCGAGAGGTGACTCTCAGTCACCGCTTGGCCCGATACGGCAACTTGAGAGGTGACTCTCGATCACTGTTTGGTTTGATACGGGAACCCGATTGGCAACAAGGTATGTACTGGTTTGTATAATTTGACGAAGGGTAGAATGATGACCCTTGCCATTAAACTGGGATGACCATAACAAATAGGAAGGAGTTGCCATGTCTGATAAAAAAATCCACAAGAAATCCACGGTAGCATCCCGCAAAGGTAATACTATAGTTCTAGTATGGAAAGACAAAAGGATCATCATATTTTCGACCACTTAGAATAATGCGGGGATAACTCTCGTGAAAAGGATTTTACGAGGTAGTGTTGAAGTTACTATAAAAAGAACCAATGATATCATAAACTATATAAAATATATGGGCGGCGTTAATCAAGCAGGCCAATATGCCTCGACATATTGTTTTCTAAGAAAGTCTTTGAAATGGTGGCTTAAGCTATTTTGGGGGGGTTTAGAGATTTGTTCAGTTAATTCTTATATTCTTTACAAAGCAATAAAAAGTAGAGAAACGAACAGCCGCTCAGTATTTTGCAGGATGGAAAAAACTTTGGTTGATCAATTGAGAGGAAATTTCCGCCAGACTCGTGATCAAGCTGCTACTATGACCTTTAGTTTCGACGAAATTCGATCAAATGGAAAGCTACATGTCATTCTAACAGGAGTTAAGAAAGATTGTAAGGTTTGCTCTCAACGAAATAAGCCCGGCGAAAGACGTCAAACAACACATTACTGTAATAGCTACCTTGACAAACCGAGGATGCATCTTGGCGATTGTTTTGTAAAGTACCGTACAAAGCAACAATGCAGTCCTTAATATTTAACAAATTTTCTTCTTTCACATGTAAGGATACATAAAATATTAAGATATAATAGTTTTATACGTTAATTTGTATTACGTTAATTTGTATGTAAAATCATTTTAAGTTAGCTGGATGACATTCACTAAGTATGCAGAAAATCGTCTCGAGTTGCTGGTTCGTCCGGGCGAAAAAGGCCTCGAGTGCAAAGGGTTAAGTTTCCTTTTTCGCCTCAGCAATTGACATAATCACTGTAAATCCTTGATACAGGTCAGTTACGCCAAGTCCCAGCCCCAGTCCCAGACATAGCAATGTCAGGCCGTCTCATCTTCCTTTGCAAATTATTGCACCGAAACTTCCAGAGCCCAACGCGGTCCATAGACTAGCACCTCATCGAGGCATGTTGCACTCCAGACAGGCTAGCAACAACAGTAACCAGCAATCGTCCTTGGACGACTCGGGAGTCGTCGACGATCACGACGGCGACGACGTGACATCGGCCGAGGAACACGAGAGGAGAGAACACAGAGAGCACAGGGAGCACAGGGAACACAGGGACCATAGAGAACATAGGGAACACAGGGAACACAGGGAATATGGGGAATACAAGGTTGAAAGGGAGGAGCGAGCGATGATGGAACTGAGGAAATCGGATCATTCTCCTGCTCCGGTTACGGTTTCGGTGAGGGCCAGTAATCGAGAAATTAGGGTTCTGTGCAATGGAGTCAAGACGAAAAAGCACATGTACACGCTACCGCCTGAGTACTTGTCGCACATCGTAGTACTGGGTAGGTCCCTCAATTACAGTTATGTTGAAAGTGCAGAAAGTAAGCTGTGTTAATCGAACATAACCTTAAAAGACAATCTCGTGAATCTGTATTTTTTGGATTTCATGAAGTAGAGAAGAATTAGGAGATCGCGCAGTATCAAAGTAATTTTACGGGCCTTTAAATGGAATCCGTGATTGTTTTGAACCGTTCCAAAAAGAAAAAGAACCATGTAAAGAAGTCACTTTCGTAAATGTAAGCATGGGTCATTTTAAAAATCTTGAGAAATTAAGTTGTTTACTTACTGGATGTTAAGGGAGGTGATAACAGGACAATGGACTTATAGTATGTGGATAAATGTGATCAAATTCCAGACGACCTGCCGGACAGGAACTGTGATAAGTGCATCCAGTGCTGCGTGGACTACGAAGGCTGGTTAAGGTTTCAAAACTGTTTGTATAAGGTAGGTTCTAAATCGCGTTAACGAGATGGATCTGTATCAGTCCGATGGATTATCTGTCAACAGGTAGTCAGGGATCCACTTTTCGAGCTCATGATAACCCTCTGCATTGTATTGAACACGGGGTTCCTAGCAATGGAGCATCACGGGATGAGCGAGTCGATTCGCCAGGCGTTGAATATCGGCAACAAAGTCTTCACCAGCATCTTCACCTTCGAGTGTTTTCTAAAATTGCTAGCACTGAGCAAGGATTTCTTCAATAATGGGTGGAACAACTTTGACCTTATAATAGTGTCAGCTTCCCTTATCGACTTAACCTTCGAGCTGGTAGATGGATTGTCCGTAATCCGGGGTCTGCGACTGCTAAGGGTGCTGAAACTGGCACAATCCTGGACCACGATGAAGGTCCTGCTGAGCATCATCATCTCCTCGATCGGGGCCCTTGGTAACCTGACCTTCGTCCTGGTGATCGTGATCTACATATTCGCTGTGATCGGCATGCAACTCTTCAGCAAGGATTACACGCTGGACAAGTTTTACCCAGACCCAGTGCCGCGGTGGAACTTCAATGACTTTTTTCATTCGTTCATGATGATCTTCCGTATTCTATGCGGTGAATGGATTGAGCCACTCTGGGACTGCATGAGAGCCGAACGTGACGAAGGTCCCGAGACCTGCTTCGCCATCTTCCTGCCAGCTCTGGTGATGGGCAATTTCATGGTTCTGAATCTCTTCTTGGCGTTGTTGCTCAACAGTTTCAATTCCGAGGAGCTGAAACAAAAGAAAGAGGAGGTCGGTGAGGAGTCCAAGCTGGCTCGGTCCTTTGATCGGATTCGCTCGATAGTGCGCAAGAAAAAGTACCGCAAGGAGAACTCCGAAAACGAGAAGAATTCCAGACTGGAGCAAATAGTCAGAGAGGTGATGGACAAGTCGGACAAGGAGAAATACGCCATCCAGGAAACCGTTCTGAGCCTTCCCAAAGACAATATTTACAATAGGTCCTACCAAGAGAGTCTGAATCAACCAGTATTCACCTACGACCCTGTTTACCGCCAGGCCACCGTTACAACCTACAGCCAGGGTAGCTTGGAGGCCACCAAAGAGTCCAACACGCTCAAGGAGAAATCCAACGGAGGCGAGTCAAACCCTGAAGAGAATATCGAAATGGAGGTCCTGAAGGACACCGACAAGCCCGATGAAGAAGCGGCTATGTTACCTGAAAAAGAAAAAGAGATGACTCTTCGTCGGGATGAACACATAGAGAAACGACCCTGGCACGCTCTTGTCAGTTACGTCGACGAGCTGACTGTGGGCGGCAGAAGGGATAGCAAGGGGAGGTACATCGACGGAATGGGCTCGTTTCCTGGATTCGGCAGGAACAAGCAGCCGAAAGTGCCCCAGGACTGCTTTCCTCAGCATTGCTACCAAAAGTAAGGCGACTGATCAAATCACTGAAAAAAAACAAAAAACCATCATTTCATCGTAGCTGCCCGATCTTACCTCGCTGACTAATTCTACAAGTTATTGGTGGTGCACCGGTGCACCGTCGTCATCTTTTTACTTTGTCATTTTCTATACTATCCCCACATGGCAACATAGGTATAATATACGTATATTATACATATATTTGGAATATCCATACATCTAAGGGTCTATATCATTCATATACTCTAGCTATACTGAAGACAGATGTCTATTTTACTGCACCGCCCCTGAACGGAACGGGACGCTTCGGTAAGAGATGTGGCCTGTACGGTAGTCCCTCTGGCAATGTCGGTCCTGCCGGAAGATCTTCCGTTCCAGCGCCGCTGTCCTCGTGGTGGTCTCGGCGGAACTTCTTACCGGCGTTCCGTCTTGCCATCTCGCCTAGTTAAATTAGGTTAACACATTCCGTGCCACGTGTACAAACGTGGTACGCGTTAAACTCGGCTGGTACACGTCTTGGCACGGAACGTGTTGATAGGCCGCCTAATTAGGGCGGCTGCCGGTGGATGGCAGCAGGGTCCCCCAATTCGGGGCCCCGCGCGCTTTTCGCGAGTCCGTAAACCGAATTGGCTCGCCGATGCGCGCCGACTCGAGCCGTTCCTGTGCATAAATAATGTTTACCGCAAAATTTCGGCATTTTTAAAGTAACAAAAACAGATCTTGGACTAACGATTGCCAGAGGGATTGCTTCCCGCTCCGGCTCCGAAACCTCATGACGGGCGGAAAATTCGCCACGTCACAGTATACAAATCTATATCACGTATACACACTCGTTAGAGATTCTCTTGATGATCGCAGATATCTAGGTTTGGTATATGCATATTTAAACAGATCTAAAAGACATCTATAAATAGTCAATATCCATAAATGATACGTATACGTTCTGTGTGGGTCCTATTATTTTCTTTTATCAAATTGGAAAAAATGACCGCTGGGAAATGTTGACGTTGCATGATGGATTTGTAAGGTCAGTGCAGCTGAGGCGACACGAACATTAGAAACAACATGCCATACAACGGACATTGTCTCATAATAGGGCGATTAAACAAACTTACCTACCTTCAATCGCGATTATACTAATCTTCTCGTCCGAATTTGTGCTTGTCACTGGATAGTAGTGCTCTTGTTCCTAGTACTGGCCACAGGGTTGAAAGAAAAGCAGATATTTCACTGTTGTCTCTTTCATCCCTGCGTTACTATGAAGCTTCACTATTTTTAAAGTGTGTATTTCCAATCACGAGTGAAGCCGCGACGGAGATACTAGTAATATTGAAAAGAAATCCTGTTTATTCCGTTACATCCCTCTTCTTCTTCCAATAGGGTGCATGTCCGTCTAAGGCTCGCTTTCCCGGGACCCCTTATCACTCTAGCGATAAAGCAAACTTCTGTGTAAGAAAATCACACCTCGGGGATCAATTCGAGTTTTCGTCCGCGATCGAATGAATAACAAGTTCTAATCCGATGGCTATCTCAGATGTAGCTGCATCAATAGATGCATCGCCACCGATCTGGGCAGAAGGTGGATCAACGTTAGATCGGCGGTCCTCTCGGTGGTGGATACCCCGGCCTTCGAGTGGATGATCTTGGTCCTGATATTCGCATCTTCCATAACCCTTTGCTTCGAAGACATCTACCTGGATGACAATCCGTTCCTCAAGAACATCCTCTACTGGACCAATCTGGGCTTCTGCGCCCTCTTCAGCATCGAGATGCTTCTCAAGTGGCTGGCTCTCGGCTTCTGTAAATACTTCACCAGTTTCTGGACAATCCTGGATTTTATAATCGTTTTCGTAAGTAGCTAGACGTCGAGACGATCGATCGAAAGAAACGCATTAATCTCGCTGTGGCATGCCCTCCTTACGTTGGCCATTGTGTCCATTTGCTTCTAAAACGGAATACGAAGTGTGTGACCTTTGCCAGATATTAACCCTATATATTTGCGCATACACACACTATACACACACGGCCTCGTATGTGTGGTGACTCTGAATGTTGTTTCTGTCTTTTTCTGTATGTTTTATGTGTCGATCCGTGGAGCCAGGTACGTTGAAACAATCATGCGTTACTCATGTCAGCGTCATCATTTTGTATTTACTTTTCCCCGATTCCTCTCATCGGAATGTCATATGTCACGAATGATTATTGTGCTCTTTCTTTTAAAATCTTCGTGACATTGTATCGTATTGCTTAGATCATGGACACTAGAGACCAGGAGGACGAACATAATGTTATAGAAGTTTCTTCAATGGGGCATGGGCATGGATTTAAAGACATACATTTACAATACGGTTATATTATCCAAATAAACTAAGATAAAATATTCAATGTATATTTTATCAATAAAACATTTTTATCAGCATTTATTTGTCACATATGTAAGTACTGTAATTAAAAAAAGTTTTGGCAGAGGTAGTAGAACGTAAGTTTTCCGAGTTTTCAATTTCACAGGTCTCCCGCGTTGTTAGAGATTCATAAGATTGCATACTCCATGTTGGTCCCTTAGCGATAGCATTGCCACCTACAGACAAAATCTCAAACAATGTTCTGTATCCTTTTTCGCTGACACGAGCTCCCATAAGGGACCCTGTGCAGTTCGTCCTCCTAGTCTCTAGTCTCCCTGGCTTAAATACACATATAAATCACGAACAAAGCACGAGATCATTGTTAGAAATTGATGTTGACGATGAATGAATGGGAAAAATAGCAATATTCAATCCCCGGTAGAAAATGACGATTTCACGTTCAATTCGCATAAGAATTTATTCCTCTTTCTTCATCCTGCTTGTCTAATCTCCTTAATAATTGCAAGACCTCCAAATAGTTTTGTGAAGTAATATAGTAAGTACGGAATGTCTATGATGAAAAGTAATGGTGCAATTTAGGACGGAAGAACAATATTGATATTAGCACATCAGAACAAATTCAGCTCATAGTAAAATGTTGAAAACGTAAAGAGTGTCGCGCTCTAACCTTAATCAAATCCATTTTCTTTAATATGTGCACACATAGTCTTTATTCTAATCATTGCATAGCAAATAATATATTTTTAAATATGTTGCACACGCTTTAATAGGACTGATAGAAGAATTAGAACACGTCGATCCTTCGTGATTACCTCTTTTGGCTGTGAAATAATTTTGAAGGGGCCTTGATACACAAATCAATGAGCTGAATCGATCCTTATACACTGGGAGACATCAATGCCCTCCCATCCTGCACAGGCGATGCCGTATCTGCAGGGGAGGCATTTATGTCCGCCATTGTACACTGGGAGACATCAATGCCCTCCCATCCTGCACAGGCGATGCCGTATCTGCAGGGGAGGCATTCATGTCCGCCATTGTACCTCTTTCCCAAAGTATATGAACTTTTTTATAAATTAGTCAACTTTATCGATAATAGTGATCGTCACTTTATAATTTTGCACATTTATTATCAACTCACGATTTACCACGTTGCCTATAAAGTCATATCGTCACCTTATCACCTTAAGGGGATGTGAAAGTGACGTCAAAAAGTTGATGAAACTTTTCTCCGACTTGGGTGTACCAAATTATTTCAAACTTCAGACCATGAATATAGAAGCTATAAAGAAGGTCTTGACACCCATGAAATATAATTTGAATAAAATTTGTTTATAGATGTTTTCTAAATATTTTATAAAAAAAATGAAATTTCGCGAGTTTCGGGACCTATTTTAGGGTCTCTAAATGCACATTGTGAAGTTTGAAACGATTCGGTACACCCAGTTCGGAGAAAAGTTCCATGAACGATTGACTCCTCTGATGCCACTTTCACGTCCCCTTAATTTCTTGAGAAACGATCTATTTAATGTACTAACAAGGAAGGTACCTGAGGTGTCCCCCTCCGATTTTGTTCATTTTTAAATATGTTATAGAGGATTAAAATCTAAGGAACCCGTGTTTTTTTTTTTATTGGCGGATAAACACTTTTAGCGGGTGAAATTAGGCTTCCAGGTTGGCCGTGCAAGGGGGCGAGTTGGCTGTTTCATATAGAAGCACTCGACCGATTTTTATGAAACAACCGTCAAAATATAGGTAATGAAGAATTATGAAACATGCATTTGGAATTTTTCGAAAAAAATTCATTTTTAAGGGGTTGAGCCACCCCTTTGAATACTTCTTTTATCCCTCACGCGAGCAGTCATTGTTCTATCCAAATGAAACTTTTTTTTGTATTAATCTGGTCTATAAATGAACCAAGTTTCATTTGGATAGAGCAATTACTGCTCGCGTAAGGGGTAAAAGAAGTATTCAAAGGGGTGGCTCACCCCTTAAAAATGAATTTATTGCGAAAAATTCCAAATGCATGTTTCCTAATTCTTCGTTCCCTACATTTTGACGGTTGTTTCATGAAAATCGGTCGAGTGCTTATACATGAAACAGACAACTCACCCCCTTGCACGGCCAACCTTGAAGCCTGATTTCACCCCCTAAAAGTGTTTATCCGCCGATAAAAAAAAACACGGGTCCCTTAGATTTTAGTCCTCTATAACATATTTAAAAATGAACAAAATCGTAGGGGGACACCTCAGGTACCTTCCTTGTAAGTACTGTATGTGTGTAATATACTGTACTTAATGTACCAAGAGATCCTGATTATGGGACTTAGGGTATCAGGAAATCGTAAACTTCACTACATTTTGTTAAAATTTGTGGATTAAAGCGTTATTAATAGAATAACTGAAACGATTTAATCAGAATATAAAACAGGCCGTAATTTAATAAATTTGACAATCTGGCGATGTGTTGTTGGTTGTTTTGTATAACTCCTAGTCGCTTTATAAAATCACTACCGGGATTGTAAGATAAGGCCAAGTGAACGAAGATTCGACCAATTGGTGTAAAACGACTCGTTTACTTTTACCTAAACATTACCTAAATTTTACCTAAACATTACCAAAAGCCGGATTTTTCAGAGTGGCTATGATATATGTTTCAATTATTTACCGTTTAGATATTAAGTACATTGTAAATTTATGCCAACCAATTAGGTATCGATGTTACCGACCTGATCAGTATCAAGGCCCTTTAATCTTTGTTAGTCTACCCACCAAACACTATTACATAACAATAATATAACCGTTACATAACGTTTGTAACATGTAATACATATAACATATAAGCAAGATTTGTATTACTATTTCCTCCGCAACTATATAACAGTGAAAACGAATAATGTAAAGTATACATAACATATCGATAACATGTTATATGTTATATTAATGTTCTATAATTGCAATGCTTACAAGTAACAATGTTACCGAACGGTAATAATCCGACGTTATTTGATATTAATGTATCTTTTAGATAACATTCGTTACATGTTATGTTATTCCAGTGTTATGTAACTGTAACACAGTGTGTTTGGTGGATAAGAACCTTTTGTCACTACTTTTGGAGACCTAGAAAATCAAGTAAAGCAAATTAAAATTGCTAAATCTTTCACAACTTTCGCACCGTAAGCTCGATCTAATTCCCCCCTGTAAAATGATATAGATTAAATTAAGCATGACCCCTGCAATATCAATTGCAAAATCAATTGACTAAATCTCTGATATTCTTCCACTAGGTATCTATGTTTAGCCTTTTAATAGAGGAGAATGAAAATCTGAAAGTCCTACGATCGTTAAGGACACTCCGGGCACTAAGACCCTTAAGGGCGATATCAAGATGGCAAGGCATGAGAGTACGTACTTAGCCAATTTCTTTGAATATTCAATTTCATCGAGTAATCCAAAGTAAAGTTCTCTCTTAACTGCCTACAATCTTTATAAGTTAATTTACAAGTCTTCCACGTTTCTAGATCGTAGTGAACGCGTTGATGTACGCCATACCCAGTATATTCAACGTGCTCCTCGTCTGTCTCGTGTTCTGGCTCATTTTCTCAATAATGGGCGTGCAATTCTTCGGGGGCAAGTTCTTCAAATGCGTGGACGAGTACGGGGAGTTGTTGGACATATCGGTGAATTTATAAGGAAAACACTAATTAAAATGAAGACATCTCTTGGGGCAAGCACGACATGGATCAATGTACGATATTTCTCGCTTCAGGTAGTGAACACCAAGGACGACTGTCTGTATCAGAATTATTCCTGGGAAAACAGCAAGATCACTTTCGATCATGTCGGCATCGCTTACTTAGCGCTTTTTCAAGTGGCAACATTCGAGGGTTGGATGGAAGTGATGGAAGATGCCGTGGATGCAAGAGGGGTTGATCTTCAACCCCAGAGAGAGGCAAATTTGTACGCATACTTTTACTTCATAATATTCATCGTCTGCGGCTCTTTCTTCACCCTCAACCTGTTCATCGGAGTTATAATCGATAACTTCAACATGTTGAAAAAAAAGGTAAGTCGTGGAGCAACCAGTAAAACCATCGCACAGATGCTGGTCAGAGCATATAATCATTCTAAACTATATCTTTACGTTTTTTCTGTTTACAGTATGAAGGTGGCGTGCTAGAAATGTTTCTGACCGAGAGCCAGAAACACTACTACACTGCCATGAAAAAACTCGGTCGCAAAAAACCGCAGAAAGTGATTAAACGTCCGATGAACCAATTCCTCGCCATGTTCTACGATTTGTCTAACTCCCGAAGGTAATTGCTGGACTACCAAAGATACCTGAAAAATTTGAATTGTTCAGGCATTTCTAACTGGAATATTTTTTCATTACATTACTAAGCCACATCGTATCGACGATTTCATCTAATTGCCGTCATGAGTTTCGATACTACCGATAGAACGTACACAGTATACGAACACATTATTTGTCAAGCGACCACACCTAAAAATTGTCAATTTTTAGATCGGGCTCAAATTAGGCCAATTTGTAATCTTATAGGGTAGAATTTGATATGCCAAGTCATAAGTCCATAAAAATAAATAGGGAGCGTATGCGCAGCGTAATGGTCTGTATTTTTCCCGAGTTTTTGCACTGGGTAAAATACAGCCTCCGAGGGTTCGACCCTCACGATTCCTGAGACTTGAGTTTCAGTTTTAATTTCATTTCCGAAAGATTTTGTGACTGGCGATAGAGTGAGATCATTTCACGAGCGATCAGCTGCACGTGTCAATATTATAATTATTGTACGGACACGACATATGAGGTACACCATTTAGTGCAATGCACGATATAACTTGACATGGCTGTCAATATAAAAACGAACGTCGACAACGTAGGTATTTAGGAGAGTCTGCTTTACCGACGTCGATCAAGTTACTTTATGTGTCTCACGCCACCTTAATATTATTAAACCCTGGGGGGTTCAGACGCTATACGTAGAGTTCCTACTATGATTCAAGACGGTCAAGAATGAACTTCTTTAAAGTACGTTTGGCTTGCTTCCAGATTTGAGATAGCGATTTTCGTGCTGATATTCCTGAATATGCTGACGATGGGTATCGAGCACTACAACCAACCGCATCCGATATTCTTCGTGCTGGAAGTGTCCAACGCGTTTTTCACGACGGTCTTCGGCCTGGAGGCCATAGTGAAGATCATCGGCCTGAGGTACCATTACTTCACGGTCCCGTGGAATCTCTTCGACTTCCTGCTAGTACTAGCTTCGATCCTGGGCATACTCATGGAAGACATCATGATGGATTTTCCCGTGTCCCCGACGCTCTTGCGGGTGGTGAGGGTGTTCAGAATCGGTAGGATCTTGAGGCTTATAAAGGCTGCTAAAGGGATCCGCAAACTGCTCTTCGCCCTAGTCGTCAGTCTGCCGGCCCTCTTCAACATCGGGGCACTGCTAGCGCTGATTACTTTCATCTACGCCATCATCGGCATGTCGGTCTTTGGCCACGTTAAGAAGCAAGGTGCCTTGGATGATATGGTGGGTTCGGACGCTGATGATCAGCGAGACGATATTCCATAACGCCATATTGTCCTGTTCCTACAAGATGGAAAAGAACAGTAAGAGGAATCAAATCGCAATGGCGAGTCACGTTTGGGATGTTTCAGGTCAACTTTGAGACCTTCGGGCGAAGTATGCAGCTGCTGTTCAGATTGATGACCTCGGCTGGGTGGAATGACGTCCTGGAGTCCCTGATGGTACAGCCACCAGACTGCGACCCAACGCCCACCAGCCGGCAGATGAATGGCGACTGCGGATACCCCCTCCTCGCGATCACGTACTTCACGTCCTTCATCATTATTAGCTATATGATCGTCATCAACATGTACATCGCCATCATCCTGGAAAACTTTAACCAGGCTCACCAGGAGGAGGAAATCGGCATCGTAGAGGATGACCTAGAGATGTTTTATATAAGATGGTCTAAGTAAGACTAGTCGGATTGTGGCACCATGTAAACTTCCCTAAATGAAATCATCTTTTTAAGATAAGGAAATTTTCTTTTGTTGCCCTAGGTATGATCCACACGCTACGCAATTCATCCGATTTTCGCAGCTGAGCGACTTCATAGCGAGCCTCGACCCGCCGTTGGGAATATCAAAGCCCAATGTCGTAGCGTTGGTTAGCTTTAATCTTCCCATCGCAAAGGGTAACAAGATCCATTGTCTGGACATCCTACACGCTCTCGTCAAGCACGTCCTCGGGCACGTGGAAGAATCCGAGGACTTCCGTAAACTACAGGAACAGATGGACGTTAAGTTCAAGAAGCAGTTTCCAACGCGTAAGGAGCTGGAAATTGTGTCTTCCACCAGGATTTGGAAGCGCCAGGACAAGGCGGCTAGGTTGATTCAGCGCACGTTCAGGGAGTACGTCAGGTAATCGAAACGAATCCCGACGCTACAACAAATCGCTCGTTTCGTCTTCTCCGTTCATTCTCATCCCTTCTTACCTTTCTCGTCTTCGATCGTCTAGATTGAAGAAGGAACGCGAAAGGATCGCCCAGGAAGTGGACTCGCAGACACAGACCTCCAGCCCTGGAGGTGGCGGCAGTGAAGGTAGGGGCGGGGGCGGGTGGGGTGGAAAGCTGTCGGCCCTCCTGCACGTACACAGAGGTAGTAGGGCCAGTAGCCGCAAGTCCTCCAGGGCCAGCGACGCCAGCGACCTCAGCGAGCTCGGGACCGCCTCCGCGTGGCTCTTCCCGAACCTGCCGCTGCTGCTGCTCTCCGGCGCCACCGGAACCCACGAGGACCTGCAACCCCCCGCCCTGACCGTGTCCCGTCCCTCACCGACCACCGACCAGCCTGAGGCTGCCTCCAGCTCTGGCTCAGACTCCCACGCCACTCTCAGGTTGGTACAGGAACTTCTCGGCGCGATACTATCCAGTCCCATCACTGTACTCTCGACCTTAGATGAACAGGATCCTCGCGATAACGATTCTCACCTGCGCATTTTCTCGAAGTCTGACTGAATTAGGTAGATCCAGCCAGAATATTGGTTGCTGATGGGATGATCAATCTTGAAACGTGTTGCTGCTGCTAATTAACGTTTACCGTTAGAGAAGGAAATACTTAATTCGATTAAGCTAAATGAATGTTAGCTTAATCCGATAACGAGTACTGTAACCCGACCGTGGCATTCATCTAAGGAGAATCAGTGAAAGGATTTCTTAATTTCTAATTTGCAAAAGTTTCGCGGAAATGCAAGGACTTCTAAAATTTCAGTCACCATAATCGATTAATTTATAATTTTTTTCGTTTCAAACACCCGAAGGCAAAGAAATAAATAGGTAAAGAGAGCACGTGAAAAAATTCTATCCGGGCTATTCATCGTGTCGATAAGTTTAGAGAATGATTCGCCAAATAGAATGCTAGCCAGAACTAGACTAGAGCTCGTAGGTACCACACCTCCCCTTGTATATAAAATACTCCCACGTTATGTATAGGTGTTAGTTAGGTTAAGGGTTAGTTTGGTAAAACCCAAGTCTTCAGTGTGCTCGTTCCGTTTCGCGGATCGCGGCCTTAAGGTGAAGTGAAACCCCCCTCAAATCAGTCGATTCTAATAAGACACTTTTTTTTATGAGTATTGGATTGAAATGTCTCGAACTTTGAGACATGACTCGCGAGCACCTAGGAATTATCCTGATACACTAAAAAATTGGGATTTTTGAAAATAATTTTTTAACAGTCCAGACCAGAACCAAAATGGTCTCGAGCTCTCATATTTCGAACAATATCCGATTTTTTAAGGCTCTAATATGAGAAACGAAAGTGTCAGGACAATTGTACGACAATTTAGAACACTCTGGTAACCGATAAACTCGCATTTGAATGGGATAAAGGCAAAAAAGTCTCTTATACGCTGCTATGATAAAACGATGGTAATACGAAGTCTCGGAGTGAAAATTTAGTTGACACGGAAACTCACAGATAGCGCAGGGTGTACCTCTGCAGACAATTAGGACCTCGGAAACCATTAACCCAGAGGATTTCTGAAGTTATACTTCGATTTCTTTATAATTATTACACGAAAACGACAGGTGAAGTACGGCATTTAGTCCAATATCCAATATAATTCGACGCAGTTGTCAATATAAAAACCAACGTTGGCAACGTAGGTACGTAGTAAAGTCTTTCTTACCAACGTCGATCAAGGTCCTCGACGTGTTTTACTTCACCTTAAATCGCGAACTTATGGCTCGCGTCCATGTGTAAGTCAAACTTGCGAGAGCTGCTCTCAGACAGTTCTTGCCATAGTGAACACGGTTTTGTATGTGAACTTGCGCAAGAATTTGTCGTCTCTCGCAAGTTCGTGTACACGCCTGCTTTTAGAAGTTAAAATTGCACAAGTCGATTTTGAATCGGTCCCGAAATTCTTGCTGGAAGTTGCGTGCGGATTTGCCTGTGTTTTGGATATTTCCTTGTATGACTCTTTCAATATGGAGTATCTAACCCTCAAGTAAAATTGCAGCAAGTTTGTAACTACCGTGTATACGGCAAAGCAAGTCATTCTCGCAAGAACTTGCTAGATCGACTTGCGGCAAGAAGTTTGCTGTAAATTTATTGGTAGGGTGCCCGCAAATGCAAGTTGCTCTAGCAAGAAGTGGCGCAAGTTACTTGCACCTAGACACGAGCCATTAAGGGGAAGTGAAACCCCCCTCGAATCAGTTGATTCGAATAAAACACTTTTTTCTAAGGATATTGGACCAAATTGTCCGAAACATTGACACCTAACTCGTGATCATCTATAAGAATTGTCCTGACACATTAAAAATTTGGATTTAAAAAAAGATTTGTTTAATTTAACCAGGACAAAAATGGCATCGAGCTCTCATATTTCGATCGACATACAATTATTGAAGGCTCTGATATGGGAAACCAAAGGGTCTGGATAATTGTATGACAATTTAGAACACTTTGGTAATTGATAAACTCGCATTTGAACGGGATAAAAGCTAATGGTGATTGGGTGAGGGGAGAGGGTGAGAGAAAGAGAGCACTCGAAAGGGCAAATGCAGATCGTATTTTATTAAACCTACGATATAACCTTAACTTCTACTCTTAATTTCTACTTTCGCCTAGTTGCTTAACACGTTGAGTGCCATGTCAGTCACCGGTGACTGACATTGAACTTTCCGTTCAGGCCGCGTCAGTCATCGGTGACTGACAACTGAACCGTCCGCAGAGCGCGTGGCCAGAACGGGAAGTCGTCAAAAAACCGCGTGGCACTCAACGTGTTAATTATACGAGCGTCGGTGGGCTAAGATGGCGCAACGGCCGGCGTCTCGTGGCGGCGACGCGGCGTCTCTGGGCAGAGTGGTGGCGTCGGCGCTCGGTCGCGCGGCCAGCGCGGCAGCTCCGGGGCTCGGTGGCGCCACTGGCCTTGTGGCGCGCCATTTGAGTGGCGTGACGCGCTCACCCGTCACAAAGGAAAAAATGAGTCTTATGCGCTTCTATGCTAAAACGATGGTAATACGAGGTCTCGGCGTGAAAATTTAGTTGACTTGGAGATCACTGATGGTGCAGAGCGTCCCTCTACAGTCAAGTAGGGTCTGAACAAGCATAAATCCTGAGGGCTTCTGGAGTTTTACTTCGATTTCTTTATAATTATTGTACGAAAACGCAGCTGTCAATATAAAAACCAACGTCGGCACCGTAGATAATTAGAAAAATCATCTGTACCGGCGTCGATAAAAAAGATTTTTATAAATACCTACGTTGCCGACGTTGGTTTTTATATTGACAGCTGCGTTTTCGTACTATAATTATAAAGAAATCGAAGTGAAACGCAAAAAATCCTCCGGATTCATGCTTTCTGGGGCCCTAATTGACTACAGAGGACACCTAGCGCCATCTGTGATTTCCATGTCAACTAAATGTTCACTCCGAGACCTTACATAACCATCGTTTCAGCATAGAAGCGCTTAAGCCATTTCTTTTGCCTTTATCCCGTTCAAACGCGAGTTTATCGATTACTAAATTGTCGTAAAATTGTCCTGACCCTTTCGTTTCTTATATCAGAGTCTTCAATAATTGTATATTGATCGAAATATGAGAGCTCAACACCATTTTGGTTCTGTTCTGGGCTAAGTTGAACAATTATTTTCAAAAATCCAAATTTTGAATGTATCAGGACAATTCTTAGATGATCACGAGTCGTGCGTCGAAGTTTCGGACAGTTTGTTCCAATAACCTTAAAGAAAAATGTTTTATTCGAATCGACTGATTTGAGGGGGGGATCATTTCACCTTAGAGTTGCCCTGACTCAGAACCGAACCTTTTTCAATCCTTCGTCGTTTGCAGATCCTCGGGACCAACATTAGGTCGCCAGGACGCCGTCGAGAGTTACACCGACGAGGATGTTCTGAGTCCTCCAATTTCCAAGAGAGGCTCCCTGCGACCAAGTGGAACGGCCTTGTCGCTGAACATGCTGCAACGCGACATAAAGGACGCGTTCAGCAGGCGTTGCAGCAGCCTCAGAAGGAGGCCGCACCCCCCGGAGCCGGTGGCTCTGCCGATCCCTGACGGGAGCGACGTCAGTATCCTGGTAACGGAGCCCAGTCCCGAAAATATCGCTCCTCCTGCTAGACCCCCGTTAATGAGGCAGCAATCGGAAGCGACGGTGGTGCACGCACTGGTGCACCGAGAGAGCGAGGAGTACCACGAAACTCCGGACGACAGCTGATCCTAGTGTCGAGAGGACCCGCAGGCAGACCTTGCACCAAAATGAGTCGGATCGACCCAATCGGTCGTAGGATTCGAACTCCGAATCGGCTAGAAATGGCAGACAGGGGTGGCGTCCTCGAAGAACCACCGTGATAACACGTATCTCCTCGTCTTCGCACCGGGGCTTGTTAAAGGATTCGTCTTGGCTACACACGCTTACCCTAGAATCTTCGTTTGAGATGATAACCATCTGACCTGATATCAGGGTTGGGTGGTTTACGTCAGTCCATCGCTTTGACGAATACTTGCAGGGCCGTGAACGAGGGAGTAAAATTAGGGAGTGGTTTTCTGTGTATAGAGCATGTTAGAACTATTCCTGGTGGTACGGGTAAAACGAAACGATATTCTTTAAGGGAACGCTTATGGTTTTAAACCGAAGGAAAACGTGTTTTGGGCCTGCTAGATGTCTGCAAAAGTATTTAGATTTCATTCGGGTCGATCATGTAGAGTAATTTATTTACCAGCGCACCCAAGCGGTCTTCAACGTCCGCGGAGAAGTAATGTATGTAATTTACTTGATACTCGGTGCGAAGAAACGATCCTGGAATGGAAGAAAACGGGTCGTCTTCGGAGTGGCATCGGACCGATCCTATCAGTCCTCGAGTGCCGATTGCGATCGCTTGATCCGTCGATGGCACAACGCCGTAATTAGTGCCTATTTTCGGAGAGCCGAACTCTTTGACCGGACGAGCCATCGTAGGATCGAGTACCTACTCCGAGAAAAAACACATCTCCTGAACCAAAGGAACATTTCTTTGAACAGTACCGAAGAAATATTTTGTTAATTCGAAGAATAATTATTAGACTCAAATGAAGTCAAATGAATTGTCATACTTCCAAAGAAACGTTGCATGCAATTTATTCCAGTGTACTTAAGCGCAAGAATTATTCTTTGAATTAAAGGAATACCTGTTTGGTTCTATGAAATGTTTTTATTTTCAGGGTACTCGAGGATCGATCGATCGCTTCATTGTGCAAGAACTAATTTCGTCGTCGAGATTCTCGACGATGACGCGAAGCGACCATAAATCTCGATCGTTTTCCCACCGTGCGGTGTTCAGCGACTGGAAAGTGCGTACGCACTTTTGCCTCCTATTTTTCCCACCTAATACCTTATCGATAATACCGTATCATTACGCCACAGTAGACGACCGACTCGTATCGCTTCCGCGACGCAATGTCCGACGTCCACTTCAAGCTACTTACGTGTAACGAATGAAATTACTGCCTCGAATCGTAGGATAGTTGCGAGCGACGTAGCTGCCACCTAGCGATCACGAACCGAGGAAAGACTTTAGCACGAATCACTCCGCCATTTTGGACGCCGATTCTGTGCTTCTGGCGTTCAAAGTTACCCAGAAATACATTCACTCGTCACCGAAATTTTAAATATTATTCTTTACTTCGATAAACTTAGCGTGCTTGGCCCCATTTTATGAACAGGAATTACACCGATTATCCAATTAAGGGGATGTGAAAGTGGCATCTGAGGAATCATTCATGAAACTTTTCTCCGAACTGGATGTACCGAATCGTTTCAAACTTTATAATGTGAACATGGAGACCATAAGGAAGGTCCTGACACTCATGAAATTTTAGTTTTTATAAAAGATTTTGAAAATATCTATAAACAAATCGTTAAAAAATTGAAATTTCATGAGTCTCAGGACCTTCTTTATAGCTTTCATGTTCATATTTTTAAGTTTGAGACGATTCGGTACATCCAGTTCGATGAAAAGTTTCACGAACGAGACTTTTTTGACGTCACTTTCCCATCGCCTTAATTCGCAATTCTCAAGTTACATGGACCATTTCATATTTTCCAGTACATCGATTCATTTCCCTTAACAATGGGTCCAATGATTTTTCCGTAATTATTCCAATTATAATTATAATTTTAACAAAGTTATAAATCTATGGTTACGCGTTCATATGTGCAGTGGCCATAAATGCCTTTCCATTGTACAATGGTGGTATTGTATCCGTAGGGAAGGCATTTGTTTCTGCTGGGGCATATTCAAGGTGAGATGCTCGAATCAAGGTGCATTCAGAGGGAAAAGCGGTTACCGATGAGTTGGGAACATGTTGCGATTTTCTGCTGAAAATGGCGATCAGAATGGTCTGATCAGTAAACATGTTGAGTAAACGTACCCATTCAGCAGATGAGCGCTAACCGATCACTCAACAGTTGTCTCCTCTGAATGCACCCATTGTATCGTTCGATGCTTTTTCAATGCTTCTTCGATGATCTTTAACGTCAAAAGTACAGAATCGTCTGACCGAAGTCTTATCGTAGCGACACATTTACGCCAATTCAAGTTTGCGACATTTACGTACAAATACGTACAAAAACTGTTACTAGAGTTCAGGGAATCGGGCCGATTTAACGACATTCCTATAACGAAGTTATTCGGATATAAACATTTACGACTTGTTTCATCTGATAATTGAATAAGGTCCTTACTCGTATCTCACTTTCAGCGTTAAAAGATACGTCTTTTAGAGCACCGCTAAAGCGACCCTACTCCACTGTTATAGAAAATCCTTAAAAGAAGCGATAAAAAATGTATTTAAGCAGCAATACCTCCTCATACCCTCTTTTAAGCTTCTTTTTGAGTGCTTTGAGAATGAAAGTGAGTGTCGCTTACCTAAAAGTGGGTAGGGGGACTTATAAACCGCTTTTAGCTGTCAAAATCCTACATCAAATTTCGACAGCTTTTAGTTGTCAAAATCCCACATGAAAAATGGAATGCAGTAACGACATTTTTCACAGAGCAAAAGCTCGCAAAGTGAATACAGGGCATCAAATAAATATTAGGGACTTCTGAAGTGGAATTTATGTCGTTCTTGGCCAACCAAGAAATTGGGCTTTATTCTGTGAAATTCGCTTCCATTTTCGCGGCAAAGTTCAGCAGACTGAGCTTTTGGCATACAAAAACCGCACGCGGAACGCAGTGGTCACATTTTTCCGCCGTTTCCATATTAAATTTCGTAAAAGCGGCTTTTTAACTAAAAGCGGTCATAAAAGAAGGTACAAGTATGGCGACTTTTAGCAGCGGTCCGATCATCTTTACCTAAAAGACGTTTAAAAGCGCTGCTAAAAGTGAGATATGAGTAAGGCCCTAAATGTGTACCTTCGGACTGGAAAACCTTATTTGGTGGGATATTGTTCTTAGCCCGTTTCATCGGTAAGTGTATACGGTTTCCTCGTTTTATCGAAAAGGTAAACTGCGAGCTTTGCGTTGGCACGAAGAGCGACCTTCCCTCATTTCCCGAGTTACAGGCACAAAGTTACGTAAGTTTCGATTTACGGCATTTCGTCAATCGAACGTAAAAATAACCCCGTTAAGTAGGTGTAGTTGTGATTAGAGGAGAGACTGTTACTGCCGCAAGAGCCAGCTCATAAATCGAAGACATATTGCGGGTATTCCTCTAAATGGGATGGAGTTTACTCAACGAGATGCGAAATAACTACCACGCATTAAAGTTCCCCTGAAAAGAGTAACACACGGAGATATATGTGCCCATAATTATGAAAGTGGTCTAAGTCAAAATTGAAAAAAAAAAATGAGTTTATCAGTTATTCCACGCCACATTATTTCAAACGAAATTAATTCAATGTAATTTCGAAACAAAAAATATATGACTTAAACCACTTTCTTAATTGTGGGCACATATGGAAGACATATTGCGCGTATTTCTCTAAATGGGATGGAGTTTACTCAACGAGATACGAAATAACTACCACGCATCAAAGTTCCCCTGAAAAGAGTAACACACGGAGATGACAAACATTTTTTTTTTATTTTTTTAACGTCGCATCAACTGGTCATTAGCGACGCACCGTTTAGTTAAATACGCCGTGTAACTGTGTAAGTCACGATGTTCAAATTTTACAATTCAGGTAATAGTGTAATGTCTTTTAGAAACATTAGTGTTTTATTAACTTCTTGTGGGTCCCCAAGAGCTTTGGTAATTAAGTGGCTGTGTGAACCTGGAATCCAGTTTGAGGCACAAACAAAATTAACAGACTTATTTAAATTTGTTCTGTCATGTAGATGTTTGTGCCATGTTGAGTTTTGTTTGCGCTATTTATTTTTACAAAAAACCAGAGCTGTTAACCCTTTGAACACGGAGCCATTTCGACATATGGGCGAAATTCGTCTGACCGTGCAGGCAATATTGGACCAAACGTCAGGCGCCTTTACGCGCTCTTAATAGTCAAAGGATAAAAAAAATAAACAAATTCCAAAAATGACCACTTTAACGTTTTTGACGGTCTGAGAGGTTCTGAATTTTCCTAACCCATTCAAGGAACCCATTAGAGTCGAAAAATCCAAGTTTCCGCGATTTCGGAATTTGTTTATCCTTTTGAACCGCTTTGATTTTTGTTAAAAAATGCCACAAACAAAACTCAACATGACACAAACGTCTACATCACAGGGACATTCCAATAAGCCTGATAATTTCGTTTTTGCCTCAAACTGGATTCCAAGTTCACACAGCCTAATTAAGTAGAGTACTTTGAAGCCTTTTCTTGTAAATTAATATTTATTTACATTCAGAAATTTTGTATTGTACCGTTATTTGACTGTTACATTCATTCCAGGGCATTGAATTTGTATTTAGAATTAGATGGTTATGAGGGAGCTTTGTATGACCGATTCTTGCTCTTGTTAAAACAACTTCCCACTGAACACCAAACCTAACAGTTACGTAACTTGAAACTAACAAATGACATAACGTTTGTTACAATGTAATAACCTAACAGGTACATAACATAGGACTAACGAGTTACATGACATTTGTTACAATGCAGGAACTTAACAGTTATGTAACACGGAGCTAACAGGTTACATAATATTTGTTACTATCATATCTATATAAATGTAACATAACTTTGTTACTCTCATCTTACATTATGTTACTGTCCGGATATTACGGTGCATATGCAGCACA